GGGGGGGGGTGCAAGGAAAAAAAGGTGGGTGTGGGTGCGGGTCAGTGTTCCACAGTAATTTCAAAAAGCGTCAACAAGATCAACGCGCCGGCAGTGTAACAGGGGTGGTGTCCAACAAGGTTTCGTCGGTTTGGTTGGTTTATTGACTTCGAAGGCGCTACGCTGCATTTTCACCTTTAGTATACAGAGGGTGGCCCGATATAGTGCCGGTATTTTCGGCTCGCACACACTGGAAAACCAAGTTGTTCTGTACTTCGAATAGTGCTGTGTCCGGTACTTTTCTCTGCACATACCGGCACTATATCGGGCCACCCACTGTACTGACAAGTGATCGTCGGGATGAAATGCCAGACAGGGTTGTGAGTTCGATCTTTCAGCAATATTCCGTCAGAAGGTGTGTGTGGTTGCTGTTTTGAAGCCTGGTGCTAACAAAAAAGAGGGTAGCGACAACACGCTGGTAGGATTTAACATCATTCCAGGTATGAGATTCGGAAGTGAACGGTCTAGTTCCATGGCACGCGGTGTTTTGGCGGCGGAAGGTTGTCAGCAAGTTGCATGAGGGAAAATGTCCACCTGGACCACGTGGGGCATGTTGGATTTTAAGAAAGTCACCACGCCAGCCGTCGATGTAATAACGTTTGCCAGAGAGACTTCACCGCCACAGGCACAACTGCTGTAGGATGAAACTGATCGAATACTGAGAGGGAGCCTTGCACTCCACGTCGTGGACGTGGGGTGAGGTGCGTATGCATAGAAGGGCTACGGCGAACATCCCATGACACCCTAGAGGAAACATGAGGATTCGGGAGCGAATATGACGTGCTCGAATGTCAAGCCAGGTATCTTACAGCCACCGAATCAACTACTGCCGTCTACAGGACCATGAGCGCTCGTGCACGGCTGCGAGATCATGTTCAGGTGCCACAAGGTCCGTGTGCGTCATACGGTACGGCTTGAAAATCTGCGCGCGTCGCTCACTGGTGTATCGACAAAAAGCAGCAGTTGTGTGTCTTCGTGAGAAGATGCTGCTTCTTGATCCCAAAAAGAGCCGGACAAGCGGCGTGGGAAACACATACCAAGTCAGCGCAAGGCTGGACTCACCTGGGGGCGACGAACGCCTGGGAAGTGGCGGCGCACATGGCGAAGCAAGCAGCGGTCTTCATCTTTGAGGTTGGGTGGGGTGGAAGTGGAGTAGGGTTGCTGGATTTGTGGGTTGACAGCGGAATGAGAGGGGGCGGGGCAGGGACGCAGGGACCCGCGGGTTCGAGAGAGGCGGGGGGACGATCGTCCAGAAGCCCCGGTTATAGAACCGGTACCGGTGTTTAGAAGATCTTACCATCAATCTCGACGTTGATTGGGCAAAAGGTCCACGTCCCCTAACATTGACCAATCAGTGCCTAGTGTGAATCCACGTCCATTGTCGTGTCTCGTTTTTTTTGTTAGCGTGTGATCTCGTGTGCCCTTCGCTGCTCTGCTCTCCTGCCACTTGTCCCCCACGGTTGACAACACAACAGCCGCCCCCAACACTCAAGTAACCACCCTTTCTCCCACCGATCTCCAAGGATGAAGTCCGCTGTGATGGCTGTTGCTTGCGCTGCTGGCGCGAACGCTTTCGTGGCACCCAGGTGAGCTCGCGTTTTGTTTTGATTCGTTGCTTTGTGCCATACTTCTGTAGATCCTCCAAACCAACGAGCGATCATGATCCTACTTCTGCTGCTGTGGGAGGTGCCATGTACCGCCACATGCACCACAGGCCTGGTGATGAGGGTAGCACCGAGTGTGTGGTTTATTGGTTCTCCTGCTCACACACAAAGCAGATCTTGCACAGACAGCGCTAAACACGCACGACGCACACTCGATGACCGCGTGTGCGTGAGAAAATCGCTTGATGCATGCGTAGAAGTAGTTGTCGGTGTGTCTCTAGTTGCGGTGCGACATGACAAGCGTCGGGCGTGTCTAGCATGGCTTCGCTGCTTGTGTCAATACACGCTACACATCCTTCTTTTGGTGCATCATGCGTGCAGCCTGGTTTCGTCGGCTTGCATGTATGAAGATTGCGAACATCGGATGTAAACACACACACAACACCCTCCATGGCAAGTACTGTACCCTTCCAGAGACCCCGTCACGCAGCAGTCTTGTTTTGAGTCCGTGTCTCCCGATCGACACAGCTGGAAACGCATGTGCATAGCTCCCAGCCCACAAACATCGTGAGCACTTCGTGAATTTAAAGTTACACGAGCGATCTTGCATGCGACCGCCACAAGCTTCCTGCGCGTGTCGCTTTACGCTGTGTAGAGCGTGATCTTTGAAACACGCAACATCCACTTGCCGCCTTATTGTTTCCCCTCCGTTGTTGAGGATCCAGTTTTCAAAGATTTTTGTTCATTTTTCACTGCAGATAGTTGTGCACATGGGAGATGCACCAAACTGCTGCCGTGTAATCCAGCAAACAGATTATGTTGTCGACAACCCCTGAGAACAGGAGCGCCCTTGCAGTAGTGCCTGGAGCACGCCGACAGGCCATCAGGCGTCACCACTGCTCCTTTTAGTAGAGTGTTTCGTACCGCAGACGGGGCAAGTACACGAACGTGTACTTGGCAGCAGCGTCTTCCGTCGCCCATCCGATCCCCGCCGTGCGTAGCATGCTCTGCTCATGCGTTCCGAGTATCGTGTGGCACAAAAACGCTGAAATATATTGGCGCGTTTTGACGGACCCATTCATGATAGGCACCACCTCACATCACGAGAAAAGAAATTTTGTAGACTTGAAAAAACATGCGACCAGGATAGGAGCACAGCCGAAATTAAAACAATCCCCCATGTATTTCGCGCAAAGTACTTATCGTGGCCGACACAGGTCCATCTCCAACGAGCGACGGGCTGAGTTTTTGATTGATCTGGTCGTGGCCGATGCTTCGTGAAACTCCTGCCGGCGTCCGTGCACCGACACCCCTCCTTGTGACGAGAATCTTTGCTGACCAGCAAGATCTTACCGCGGAGGGGACTGTCGCTGCACGGACGTGAGCGTGCGGTCGACAAGCATCGGCCACGATCACATCAGGAACTCATCCGTCGCTGATAGGTCGGGTGTCGTTGCCGTGGTTCCGGCTTGCGTGGGTTCAAAATGAGTTTGGGAAGCAGTTGGGCGTATGTATTTTCGTATCTTTTGCTTCGCTCCTTTCATGTTCCGCGCAGCATGTACGACAACAGGTCATGCCGTTGCAAGGATGGCATACCATTGTTTCACGATGCTCTGCGATCTCGCTCAGTCGACGAACCTCTCGTGGTGCTGAACGTCTGTAGTGCACACCAAAATGAACACATGGCTGCCTTCTTTGTTGTCTAGGGCAGGGATACGTCACCCGTGTTGCGCCTATTTTGTGTTTGCGGCTGTGTGTGCTATAGCTACCCTCTGACGGCCAGCTGTGAAACCATTATGTTCTCCAACCTTGAATCACCAGAGCGCCTCCATAACCACGTTCACCCGAAAACCGACCTAGAGCAGCTTTACATGGAGATCAAAGAATTCTCGACTTGACATGACCTTCCCCTGTCATGTCCAACATGACGCAGTATCCATGTCTCCACTGCTGTCGCCTTCAGCGTACCTCCCATAGGCATCATTTTCAGAGGTTCGCGTTGCGGTTGTGTATTGTCACTCGTCAACACGTTTTTTTACCCTTGGATGATACATCTTTGCTTGAACACCACACGTTAGTAGCTGCCTGTGCTTGGTGCCGTGGAACACTGACCCGCACCCACACCCACCTTTTTTTCCTTGCCCCCCCCCCCCTCCCCTCTCTTTTAACACACAGCGCTTTCAACGGTGCCGCTGTCGCCACCCCGGCCAAGTCCTCCTCGGCCATGAAGATGTCGTTCGAGTCGGAGATCGGCGCGCAGCCCCCCCTGGGATTCTGGGACCCGCTCGGCCTCCTGGCCGACGCTGACCAGGAGCGGTTCGAGCGCCTCCGGTACGTGGAGGTGAAGCACGGGCGCATTGCTATGCTCGCCATCGCCGGCCACCTGACCCAGCAGAACGTCCGCCTCCCCGGCATGCTCTCGAACTCCGCCAACCTGTCGTTCGCGGACATGCCGAACGGTGTGGCTGCTCTGTCGAAGATCCCCCCGGCGGGCCTTGCCCAGATCTTCGCGTTCGTGGGCTTCCTTGAGCTGGCCGTGATGAAGAACGTGGAGGGCTCCTTCCCCGGAGACTTCACAAACGGCGGCAACCCGTTCGCATCTTCGTGGGACGCCATGTCGGAGGAGACCCAGGAGTCGAAGCGCGCGATTGAGCTCAACAACGGCCGCGCCGCGCAGATGGGCATCCTGGCCATGATGGTGCACGAGGAGCTCTCCAACCAGCCGTACATCATCAACGACCTCGTCGGCGCGTCGTACACCTTCAACTAGATTTTTTACCAAGTTTTGCTGATTATTTTACGCAACCGGTGGTCTCACCTGTTCCATTTCCTTCTGTAGTCGGCAGAATGATGAAACACACGGCAACGCGTCTAGGATTGGTCTGTTCTAGGCGGTGTTATATACGAAGGTCTGGGTTGAGAGCACAACGTTTCAAGCACTAGCTGGCTTGTCTTCTCTGTTGACTCTAGTAAATATTCTTTGTGGCGGGGTTGGGGTCATTGCAGTTGACGCTCTGCCCCGATTTTCCCGCAGCGTTGTCGTTGTTTTGCTTCCTTTGTTGCCCGCTTGAAGTTTTTGTGTTGGAACTGGCGTGTGTTGCCTGTTGGTTGAAGGGTGACGGGCACCATTTTGGTATCACGGATGAATCAACCTCGTCGCACACACGACTTTTTTTGTTTCTCCTTGGCGGATGACATCTCTCACGTCGTGGTGGTGCCATTCACGTATTGGGAGATGTTTTTTTAGCTTAGGTTACGCTACAAAGCAAGCCGATGCCTTGTTGTCATGAATGACCATGGAGATGGCTGGTTGCAGGCAGCACTGCTGCACACGCATCGAAAACATTTGCTGGCGTTGCTCGAGCTTGCAAACTGTACGTCCATGTTTTATCTTACCAGGCCACCTGTGGGCTGGATTGACTGCTCCCGTCCTTGGACAATGAGCTCCACATGCGGTCAACAGATATTGGCCTCCTCAAACTTCCCCCAGTACGAAGTAGTACGAATGTGCGCATGGCGAGACATTTCTCATCGCCAGCCCATCTACACACGTGTTGCTTGAAGACACTTCCGTATTTCTCGTGTGCGCTGTCTCTGTTGGACCCAGCAATGGATCAGAGGTTCAGCAGAACGGTGCCTACCACGGTCGCCGGTGGAACACGCTCAATGTCAACTCGACAAAAGACGGTCCTCATATCGGGCGCAGAGTGAGGTGGGTCGCGATAAGTCGGCATACGTCTTTCCTTAATTGGGAACGCAGCACCCGGGCTGGTCGAAGCGGCAGCAAGTGGCACAGACCACGGGTTGAAGCTATTCAGTATTTTGACGAGTGAGACGAGATGCTGGCTGACCCACGTAGTAGCACACACTCGTGCAAGCGGTACGCGACGACGTAGCAATTAACGGTAATGGTTCCCAACGTGTGTGACCCTGGATGGTCGTACGGAAAAATGCTCTGAAAGTGTACTACTCTATACATGCGTTGTACACGTCTCACCACGAAAGAAGGGGGGACTGTCGCAATAAATAGGACGAAAACACAACACACAATACCGTACGTCTTTCGATGAACCACAAGCACGAGAATGCTACCGGGTTTCACCCACGGTAACATGTACATCCTTCGTAGGTTACGCACCATAAGAAGAGCAAGCATACCGGCATACCAATGTGCCACCGGGCATGGAGAATACAGTTGACGCCCGCAGATGAGAAATATTTTGTTAAGAAATTGAGGCTCACTTTTTCACGAAAAATAAGAAAATAGGGTTAAGAAACATGGCTCAACCTGGGTCACAGCAAGAAATGTTTTTCTCAATAAGAAACACAGCGGCGACCGCTGCGCTACTACACAAGAAACGAGGGTGTACGGGGAAGTGTGTCGAATAAGAAACAAACCCCACAGCTCTCGCTCTTTCTACCTCTCCCCCGACCCCCCCCCTCCCATAGTGAAGCGTGGGGTTCTCGTGAAACTCGGGTTGGGTTGGTTCGGAGGGGTAATTAGTCGCAATTCTCACCCCGCTTCGTGGCAGGAGTACGACTACCGCGTCATCCCGCACTGTGACGAAAGCACGCGTAAATTTAGCATGACGATGCCGTTGGAGTCGTACAGCACGGATGAAGACGTCGCATTTGGGGCGTGGGTTCTCCTAGAGGTAGACCCAAAGGAAGGGAGCAGGAGGCGCAAAAGGGTGACTACCCCCAATGTTCGCCTCACGGAGCTTGCAACATAATGACGGGGTAGTTTTCGTTGTTGGTACTTCAGCGTGCGGGTGGGGCACCATGCGGTGTTTATGCATTTGTTTAGTTTCAGCCCTCACTCATGAGGGGGGTACAGGACCTTGTAGCGATAGCGAGACGTTGCCCGCTGGATACATTTCGCTTCTAGGGAGTGGCTTTACGTGCAGCCATCGGTAGTGAGAATCGGGGTTGAGTACGGGGGTCGAGGAAAGCAGTGCAAATCACTTGTATATTTGGAACGTTGTGTAGACTAGTATGCAAGCAGAGAAATAAGAAATTGCCGATTTAGGAAGTGCTGAATCAGCAGGATTTGGCTGCACGAAAAAATAAGAAACTCGGAATATGAAACTGAACGACATACACTGAGTATACAGCCCAAAATAAGAATTCGAGGCTGGACCTGAAATAAGCGTTTCTTAACTGCGGGCGCCAACTGCACAGCAGTGCACTGTACGTGGTCGGAAACCCTACTACCAATAATGATGAGAGGTACTTAGGACTGTAAGGTCCCATGTACGCTCGTACGGGTGTCAAGTCGCTTATCTATGTAGCCTATCTACATGATGCGTGGGCCACACCATGCACCACCAAACAAGAGAAAAAAGTATAGACTAGTGCCAACACTCCAGACCGCCAAACATTCTTGTGAAAAAAAGCACCAAATGTCCACGGCCCGACGCAGCACGGCGAAGAGCGCCCGGCCGCCCACAAAGTAACACGCGGGGCGGCGGCTGTAGTATTTATTGGTCCCAAGTCCTTTTGGATAAGTTTAACTTGCTCACTTCGTCATGAACACACTTGCTTGCGGATTTCGAAACGGACCAACAGCCACTCTCCCTCTGTTTCTTCAGCCTGCGGATTATAGGATTGGTCGAAAGCCACTCCTCTCAAACATGCTCCCTGCTTGATCCTCTCATCTCCCGGAGGGTAAAACAAAATTTAACATAATATTCGAAGAAGCAGAAGACACAACAACGCTAGCTAGCGTAAGCGGAGTCGGAGAGATGGCACCCCCGTGTAAGCGTTTTCGTTTAGCCTATTTCTCAACAACTAGGAGGGTGCGAACACCAACTGATACCTCTCAGGAAAGCCCTCGACGAGATGTTCCCAATTACCCTTTTCGGCAGTAGTACCCCCCTGGTCACGGAGAAATACGCTACGAGTAAACGCTTACACGGGGGTGCCATCTCTCCGACGATTACGACAATTACGGTAACTGTCCAAAGCTCCCTCCCTTCGAAATGCCCAGAAAGGGGGAGACACAGGACAGTTAACAACTAGACCTGCCCAAAATTTTGGTGTTTTGTAGCTCTAGCGTGCTCGAGAGCCCCCTTTTCTCCAGCTAGCAGCTTGAAGCAAACCATGCACTTGAGGCTAGCGTTTCCCATGTCGGTGTACTGATTCCTCTGCATGGGGGGCACGGGGAAGCGAGCGGGATTCGTACAGAGGGACGGAGCGCGGTTTGAGTGTGCAACGTCTAGATCGTTCCAGCAGCACAATGAGTCAGAGGACGCGCGCGTGCGGACGAATACTATTTTGCCTAAGAAAGCGCACATAATTATCTACATGCGGAGTTCATGCTATGCCGCATGGATGGACGCGCTTGCAGCTATTGCATGCGTTGCACCGGTGATATCTACCTATGAGCTATGTAGCTACAACAGTTGATTCTCCTCTGAGAGCATGTTGTCAAACACCAATTGATGGAATGCGTACAACAAATACATACATAGCTTCAAGGCATATATATGCACTGCATTTACTACGTCGATCCCTCTGGTCAGGCAAGTCGATGCTTCAAAATTAAACTAGAGAGGAGAAGTCGGGCCCTTGGTGCTCCACACAAAAAATGGCACCAGCTTCTGAGTCCAGAGCAGTCCAATCGCGGTCCGGAGACGACCCTCACAACCCCCCAGCGACAATACTTCTGTGGTTGTTGACCGCACCGCTGCACGTGTGCCCGCTGCCAACACGCTTGCTTGCGGCTACATTGCACACCCGCTTTCAGCCGTGCTCGCCGATTCACACCTACCGGCCCGATCGCCCCGCCCACGCCACTGGCAAAGAGACTGGCGCCCGATCACCGGACGGACGAAGACATGGCGGGTTCTGAGGGCAACACCGGTGGGAACAGAATTCGCGACGGGCCTACCGGCGGTGCCACGCCGACTTTCCCCAAGAGCAACCGAGAGGGAAAACAAAAGCAAGTACAGGTGCACATCGAGACACCTAAATGCGGCACACGGACGCCGAGGATGTGGAGCGACAGCGAGAGCGCACGCGTAGGCGGAACTGAACCACTTGCGTCGCTAGAGAGAGAGCGAAGCCTCTGTCGTGAACGTTCAGCGGCTGGAGGAGTGAGAAAGCTCTTTTCTCGTGATAATCACAGCCCAGTGGGAGCATGAAGAATCTCGGTGCAGAGGCACCATCCCTATGCACACTATCATACGGCACGTGCAAACACGACCAGACAAAAAGGCTCGAAAATCTCGTCGGGGCAACACCGCCCTTACCCCCAAACACAGCAGCGGACAGCATGCGTGACGAAGAGGCATTCAGCTCACTCACCGCTTTGAGGTCGGCCGCCACCGCCTTGGCCAGTATCTCCTTCTCCTCCTCCGAAGGGTCAAACACAGTAACGTCGTCCGATTCAGGGGCCGTCTCACTCGCTGCCTCCGCCAACGCTGCGTTCGAGTAAGTCAGTTCCAGAACAGATAATAACGGGAGGGCGGGGTCAGGCAGGGGGGTTGCGAATCATCAATCGTCGAGTTTGGCGGGGTTGCGGGGGGCGATGGTGCCTTCAATCATAGAAGTATTAATCCGAGATGGTGATCGTCATCACGCGGGGCTGGGTCCGACAGGGGGGGGGGGGGGGTG